TCACTGCTAACATCATTACCACTGCATCTAACTAAAGAGAAAATTATAAGTCGCCTGACAGAAGGCGGAGGAAATTAGCAGAATGAATTTCACGCAAATTTATCTATTTTTTTTTTACTGCTTCTCCTAATTCACTATACTTTTTCCATCTCCCTTTCTAACAAATGAACTGCTACAAAAAAAAAAAAAGACAAAAGAAAAGAGAAAAAAAGAAAAGGAAAAAATATATAAAAGATTAAGCTCACTCCCCCAAAAGCAAAAAGTTGATGCCTTGATAATGCAATTTTGAGTCTTTCTAGCCGCTCGCTCGCGCCGAATAACCTACAGTCATTTTCTGGACAATTAGGGACGAAGCCAAAAAAAAAAAAAAAAAAAAAAAAAAAAAAAAAAAAAAAAAAAAAATTAAAGAAAAAATCATAAAAAATCAAAAAAAACGTAAGAAGTTATTTATGCAACAATAGCATTCGCAGATCAACATGTAAATACGGTTCGGGTTGAATGAGTTTTTAATGACTGCTTGTGAACAGAAAGGGTTAAAATGTGAATGTATTTTGTCTGTGTGTATTTCTGTGCGTATAGCGTGTGTGTTTATGGTGTATGTAAGTATGCGTCTCGTTTTGTCGTTATCTATATTTGTCGGTTTCTTTATACCTCTCTTTCTTTCTTTCTCTCTCTCTATCTTTATTTCTCTCCATCCTTCTTTTTATTTTGCTATCTATCTGTCTATCTGTTCTACCTAGTAGAGAAGAAGAAGAGAAGAAGAGAGAGAGAGAGAGAGAGAGAGAGAGAGAGAGAGAGGAGAACGAGAGAGAGAGAGAGAGAGAGAGAGAAGAGACGGAGAGAAGAGAGAAGAGAGATGACGAGAGAGAGACAGACTAGAGAGAAAAAAGAAGAAATGAAGAGAGAAAAGTAGAGAACAGAGAGAGAAACAAAAATATGAAGAAAAAAAAAATGAACAAGAGAGAAACAGACTACGAGAGCAAAGGAAGAAGAGCAGACAGAAAAAATAGAGAGAGCAAGAGAAAAACAAAAAACAAAAAACAAAAAGCAAAAGGCAGAGACAGAGAGAGAGGAAAAAAAGAAGAAAAGAAATAGACAAGAGAAAGAAAGAAAGAAAAAAAAAACAATAAAACAATAACATCATTGAAATAACACACAGACAACACCTCCATCCCCAAAAAAAAAACAAACAAACACACAAACAGAAAAAAACAACCCCTCCTCCCCCCCCCAAAATAAAAAACAAAAAAAAAACACACACAAAAAAAAGACAGAAAAAACAACAACCAGAAACCAAACACCCACGTCCTCGTAGCGTACTTTCCCCCCCATCCTTCCTTCCACAAACGTCTCGGTCGCCATTTTCATTAAGCAAGGAGAGCGAGTCTGTCACAGATAAGCGCGCCCATGCTGGCTCTTCGCTGGTATTGAGGTGCGTTGGTATGAGGTATGTTTGCGTGTGAAGTATGTTGGTATGAGGTATGTTGCGTGTGAGGTATGTTGGTATGAGGTATGTTGGTGTGAGTATGTTGGTGTGAGGTATGTTGGTGTGAGGTATGTTGGTTGAGTAGTTGGTGTGAGGTATGTTGCGTGAGTTATGTTGCGTGTGAGTATGTTGGTGTGAGGTATGTTGGTGTAGCGCTATGTTGGTGTGAGGTATGTTGGTGTGAGGTATGTTTGGTATGCAGGTATGTTGGTGTGAGTGGTTGGGTGTTGAGGTATGTTGGTGTGAGGTATGGTATGGTGGCTGAGGTATGTTTGGTGTGAGGTATGTGTGAGGTGGGTTGTGGTATGTTGGGTGAGTATGTTGGTGCGTTGAGGTATGTTGGTGTTGAGGTATGTTTGGCTGTGTAGGTGTTGGTGTGCAGGATTGGTGTGAAGGTGCGTATTTGGTGTGAGGTATGTTGGTGTGAGCGTATGTTGGCGTGTGAGGTATGTTGGTGTGAGGTGATGTATGTGTGAGGTATGATGTATGTGGTGTGAGTGTATGATGGTTTATGAGGTATGTTGGTGTGAGGGTATGTTGGTGTGAGTGTATGTTGGTGTGAGGTATGGTATGTGGTGTGAGGTATGTTGGTGTGAGGTGTGAGGTATGTTGGTGTGAGTATGTTGTGTGAGTATTGTTGGTGGAGGTATGTTGAGGTATGAGGTATGTTGGTGTGAGGTATGTTGGTGTGCAGGTTATGTAGTGTGAGGTATGTTTGTTGAGGTATGGTGTGGTGTGCGATTTGGTGTGATGGTGTGCTTGTTGTGTGAGTGATGTTGTGAGGTAATGGTTGGTGTGAGGTATGTTGCGTATGAGGTTATGTTGGTGAGGTATGCTTGGTATGGAGGTATGTTGGTGTGAGGTATGTTGGTGTGTAGGTTATGTTGGGTGAGTATGTTGGTGTGAGGTATTTGGTGTGGGATGTTTTGAGGTATTTTGGTGTGAGTTAATGCGTGTGACGTATGTTGGTGTGAGGTACATGTTTGGTGTGGAGCGTATGTTTGTGTGAGGTTGCGTTGGTGTGAGGTGTGTTTGTAGTTGTTTGGTGTAGGTAGGTATGCTATGAATACGTGATAGCGGTAGGTGATAGGCTAGGGTGGGGGGGTTGGGTAGGGAAGGACTAGTAGAGAGGCGGGAAAATGGTTTTATTGTTATATCTTGTATTTATTTATATTATTTTTTTTTTTTATTCTGATATCTTCATTTTACTCTTCTCCTTCTTGCTTGAGGTATTTTTTGCGGAATCGATCTGGATATCTATCTATCGCTCTCTCTCTCTCTCTTTCTCTCTCTGTCTCTCTCTCTCTCTCTCTTCCTCTCCCTATATATCTATAACTGTCTATCTATCTAGTTTATCTGTATATCTGTCTTCTATTCTAATCTACCAATCTAATCCAATCCAAATCTAATCAAATCTATCTAATATAATATAATGTATCTACCTACCTATGAAATATATCTAAGGAAATACACAAATAAACACATACTTTATATATGTATTAAAATATTTATCTTTATATTGAATATAAACAACCTTTTGCATTTCGTTTTCTGGATCTTGAAAATCCTCGATTAATTAATTTACTTGACCATGTGACCAATCAATGTTTTTTTTTTTTTTTTTTTTTTTTTTTTCTTTTCTTCTCTTTTTTTCCTTTTTTTTCTTTTTTTTTTTCTTTGTTTAATCCTTGAACTTACTATGTGCCAAAAAGTAACGTACAGTTATTTCATTTGCGTGTACTGTATTTTTGCTAAGCTGTATTTCGTTCTCTCAGGGTACACAATAGGGTACACAATCCTATTAGCTTCTATTAGGAAAATTGTTATGTTTGTTATTTATTTGTGTGTCTTTTTTTGTTGTTGTTAAATCTCCTGTATATTGTGGTGAGCAAAATACGGATAATTTTATACCCTTTTTTGAAACATGATTTCAGTTACTGTATTAATATGTGCATGATGTTTTGTGGATCCATTGTTACATTGTCTCCTTGCTATAAAGTAGATTGACATACTTATAAGTTATTGTTTAATTCTAGAATCAATTTATAATTCTATACGCATGTTGATTGCGTATTGTTACATAATTTGTTAATTCTATGTAAGTGTTCATATTAGAGCACATGCATAAATAAAAAAACGAAAAATGAAAAAAAATAACAATCATAAAAATTAAAAATAAGAAATGAAAAAAAAAAACTGACAACAGCAATGGCATTTTGCTTATCAAACCAATTCATAAAATTCAATGCACGAGTAACTTTTATTTCAAACGTTGCGTTGTTTTTTTCATCATTGCATTTGCCATAAAATTTCACTCAGTTACGGTGAGTATCATCCACTGGTTTGCATGCCCTTAGCAAATTTCAAATGACAATGCGTTCATCAATGCATTTATCATGAAATTTACTCACCCACGGTAAGTATCTCGTGGAATGCGATTTCTTGAATAGGTTTATGTAGAAATAAGGAAGGAAGGAGTAGTTAGAAAGGTAATTGAAGAATATTTTAATTTCTCTTTGTTTCAGCTACAACTTTTGACTTGTATGCAAATTGCCACGCGTGTTAAAAAAAAGACGAGATATATTGGCTTTAGTTTAAAAAGAAAAATAGAAAGAATGAAATTTCGCTGGGAATTAAGCAAATTAACCAATAGTTATGCAAAACATGATGCCACATAACACAAAAGAAAAAAAAAAGTAGGTACATACACACACACAAGATAAACTGTTGATTATCAGCATAAAACTATGCAACATTTTGTGCACTTTTTTCTTTTCGCTAATAACAACCACTGGTTTGTATGCCCTTAGCTAATTTCAAATGACAATGCTCACTAATATATACCCCAACGACTGAACACTTTGTTACTGTTGTCGAAAAAAATACTTGACAATGGACTCGAAGTGTAATTAAGTTTAGCCCAGGGGTAACTTATTTAGAATTAAAACCGTCTTTCGTTTTTTATCTATTTATTTACTTATCTATTTTTACCGTTGCCTGTTCCCATTCCCTTCTTTTCTCTCTCAATCTATCGTTATGATTATTTTACTTATTTTTATGTTTATACGTCTCTATCTCGCTTCTCTTTCTCTAAGTAACTATGGCATATCTATCTAGAACCTGTCTGTAGTATCAATTGGATTTTTCAGTCTATCTATCTATCTGTTGATTCAACCATCTGTCGATCTATCGATCTATCTACCTATCTATCTATTCATAAATCCATCACTCTCTCTCTCTTCACCTCCCCCTCTCTCTATCCATCGCTAACATATCTTCTTTTCTCCATCCATCCACACCTATCTATCTATCCCCTCTTACTGACACATAAATGTAAGAGTATAATGTTTCTCTCTCTCTCTCTCTCTTCTCTCTCTCTCTCTCTCTCATCTCTCTTTCTCCCTCTCTCTGCCCCCCCCCCCCCTCTCTCTCTCTCCCTAACTTCGTCCCTCCAAAGTCCTCAACGCGAAATTCAATATCACGTCTCGCTACATATCACACGTTTTTACATCCTCAAATCTCTCACCTTTTAAAACGCTGGGGTAGGTTAGTGTTAACTGGCTAAAAAAAAAAAAAAAATAAATAAAAAACTTCGCTTATAAAACGCTACAGTTTCCCCATCAGCGAGTGACATTTCAGCTGATCTCATTTGACCCTTCCAATTATGGATCATTTAATATAAAAAAAAAAAACAAAAAAAAAACAAAAAAACGATGGTTTGAAAATTCATGTTGCAACAGGATTAAGGCATAATCCAGATCCTGAGGATTAAGCGGACTAATATCAGCTAAGTTGTTTCTCCGGTAAACATTTGCACGAAGCAGAGCAAAGCGATGCAATGTTTACCTCTTGCAGGCGAGAATCCGTTCCTTCTCCCCGTTGCAAGCATCAGGAACGGGGGAATGAGAAGCAAATGCAATACAATGGTTCAAGGTGATAGATAATAGATAATGCCTGTTGATAAGTGATAGATAATAGATAATGCCTGTTGGTAAGTGATAGATAATTTAGTCTACGAAATGCCTGTTGGTGAGATTAGTATCATTGTTATTTTTTGATGATATGCATGTATCTATTTATACGTTATGGAAGCTTGGCGGCAATTCATAAAAATCATAAAATTCAATGCACGAGTAACTTTTATTTCAAGCGTTGCGTGTTTGTGTTCATCAATGTATTTATCATGAAATTCACTCAGTCAAGGTGAGTCTCTCGTGGAATGCGATTTCTTGAATAGCTTTATGTAGAAATAAGGAAGGAATGACTAGTTAGAAAGGTAATTGAAGAATATTTTAATTTCTCTTTGTTTCAGCTACAACTTTTGACTTGTATGCAAATTGCCACGCGTGTTAAAAAAAAAACGAGATATATTGGCTTTAGCTTAAAAAGAAAAATAGAAAGACTGAAATTCGTTAGAATAAAGTAAATTAACCAATAGTTATGCAAAACATGATGCCACATAACACAAAATAAATTAAAATAAGTAGGTATACACACACACTCAAGATAAACTGTTGATTATCAGCATAAAATAATTATCTGCGCAACTTTTGTGCACTATTTTCTTTTCGCTTATAACAACCACTGGTTTGTATGCCCTTAGCTAATTTCAAATGACAATGCTCACTAAAATATACCCCAACGACTGAACACTTTGTTACTGTTGTCGAAAAAAATACTTGACAATGGACTCGAAGTGTAATTAAGTTTAGCCCAGGGGTAACTTATTTAGAATTAAAACCGTCTTTCGTTTTTCATTTATCTATTTATTTACTCACCTATTTTTACCGTTGCCTGTTCCCATTCCCTTCTTTTCTCTCTCTATCTATCGTTATGATTATTTTACTTATCTTTATGTTTATACGTCTCTATCTCGCTTCTCTTTCTCTATGTTACTATGGCACATCTATATCTAGAACCTGTCTGTATTATCAAATCGGTTTTTCAGTCTGTCTATCTATCTGTTGATTCAACCATCTGTCGATCTATCGATCTATCTACCTATCTATCTATTCATAAATCCATCACTCTCTCTCTCTTTCACCTCCCCCTCTCTCTATCCATCGCTTTATTAACATATCTATCTCTCCATTTCTCCATCCATCCTATGCACCTATCCCTGTATCTATCCCTTCCTTACTAACACAGAAATGCAAGAGGTATAATGTCTCTCTATCTCTCTCTCTTCGCCTCTCTCTCTCTCTCTCTCCCCCCTCTCTCTCTCTCTCCCTAACTTCGTCCCTCCACCCCCCCCTCTCTCTCTCTCTCCCTAGCTCCCTCCCTCTTTCTCTCTCCCTCTCCATCGCCCCAGGAAACGCAGACACACAGCGAACGACCAATATCACGTCTCGCTACATATCACACGTTTTTACATCCTCAAATCTCTCACCTTTTAAAACGCTGGGGTAGGTTAGTGTTAACTGGCTAAAAAAAAAAAAAAAAAAAAAAAAAATAAATACTTCGCTTATAAAACGCTACAGTTTCCCCATCAGCGAGTGACATTTCAGCTGATCTCATTTGACCCTTCCGATTATGGATCATTTAATATAATAAAAAAAAAAAAAACAATGGTTTGAAAATTCATGTTGCAACAGGATTAAGGCATAATCCAGATCCTGAGGATTAAGCGGACTAATATCAGCTAAGTTGTTTCTCCGGTAAACATTTGCACGAAGCAGAGCAAAGCGATGCAATGTTTACCTCTTGCAGGCGAGAATCCGTTCCTTCTCCCCGTTGCAAGCATCAGGAACGGGGGAATGAGAAGCAAATGCAATACAATGGTTCAAGGTGATAGATAATAGATAATGCCTGTTGGTAAGTGATAGATAATAGATAATGCCTGATAATGCCTGTTGGTAAGTGATAGATAATTTAGTCTAGGAAATGCCTGTTGGTGAGATTAGTATCATTGTTATTTTTTGATGATATGCATGTATCTATTTATACGTTATGGAAGCTTGGCGGCAATTCATAAAAATCATAAAATTCAATGCACGAGTAACTTTTATTTCAAG